CCGATCAACCACTTCAATGGACTTCTGTAAGTGGCTTTAACTTTTTTGTCGAAAAGACGAAAATTATTAAGGACACGGTAACATGCAGGACAGACATCTAAAAGGTATTGATCTTTTAACAAAAACTCCAATATTCGTCTTCCTTTAAGTGCCATATCCGCGACGAAGGTTGGCAATCATCATGGCTATTATGACCTTCGAGGCAGCTGCTCTGAACAATTGCCTTGAGCTGCAACCAAACCACTCTCTCAGGATCTTCAACCAGGAAACGCGCCTTCTTCCTACGCTTCTCCTACCCTCTATTTTTCCTTGAGTTATAAGTCTCAAGATGTTGAATCTTTCGCTCTCATTACATGTCCAAGATATTGCAATTTTCTTTCTTTTATTGTATTTTCCATTTCCCTCTCTCTGCCTATTCTCCTAACATTTCTACCTTCGCGACTCTATCTACCCATGAAATCCTTAACAATCTTCTAAATGTCCACATTTCAAACGCGTTAAGTCGATTTATTGTATTCCGGTTTAATGTCCATGATTCAGCTCCATAGTAAAGTATACTGTGTACATAGCATTTAATTAGCTTCATTTTGAGGGCCAATGTCAGATCTTTGTTGCATAAAATCTTTTTCATTTTTACGAAGTTGGCACGTGCTTAAAAACTCCAACATTAATCTCGGTTAAACCATACTAGAATAAATTTATACTATATTTTTATCTCTCTTAACTAATTATGAGAAGCATCAGATGAACTCACCAATTATAAAGCAAACTTTTAAAGATCTAATTTCGAATGAAGTTTTTGACTAAATTGTAAACACATATTTATGCTTCTAGAGGTTAAATGCGCTGTTATTTTAAATACAGATTCATTAAAATCTTGTATTCTCCTGCTCTTCAACTGCATACATACTGCTAAATTGTTCTCTATTCTTCAAGCCGCAAACTCATTATTATCTAGAAATACAAAACTAGCAGCATATATCGACTCTTTAGCGTCTATCTGTTCTCTCCAAACAATATAGGTATACTGCACATCCTTTAGTTCAGTCTATCAAGATCTCTGTCAATAGTTTTAATCTCAGTGGAAGTATCCATCACCATGATCTGGATTCCGTCTCATATGGGAATTCTGGAAATAAACTTGGTTTGCCGCTTTTAAAACCGTATCGTAAAATTCCATGAGACTTATTTTTAAAAATACCACTCTAAAATCTTGGTAATATCACTAGAGCAAAATGTCTTCAAAGTTTCGTGATATCCATCCCACCGTCAAAAAGCTTAAGAAAAACAAAAGTTTATTCCGCCAAATAAGAATAGGCCATACAAGACTAATATGTAAATATTTAAGGACTTTCATTTCATATGGAGACTGTGATATTATTTTATCTGTTAAAATTCTACTCTAGACAGTCCTCATTTTAATAACCACAAAAAAAGGGGCATCTCAACTCGGCAAGACCTTAATAATTTCCACTGTGAAACCAGGGTTTATCAGGAAATTTAAAAGAAAATATGTCATAACGAATGTGTAAACTATTAATTCTACCAATATTAATGTCATTTGTTTTTATCGATTGTACTGTAACTTCATATTCTGGTATTGCATACTGGTTGATATGCAACTTTACAATATAATAAGTAAATAAACTATACAATAAGTAATAACAATATGTCAGTGATCTACGCTGGTCACACTGAGAGAGTTAAATAAAATAAATTAAAAAAAAAAACCAATGTATTAATAAAAAAATTTAATTTATTATTCTTAATTACCTTACAATAAGTAACGAACCGATTTTTTCTTAATTTCCACATATACATTTTTCATATGAATTATCACAAAATGTGTTTTATTATTATTACGTATTATTATACATAAGCAACGGCAGAGGGACAAGTCCTATTATGCCCAACAACAAAGAATTTTCATTAGTAACCTACTAATAAATTATACAATTACAAAAAAAAATAACAAAATTATAATTTTTGGTTTAAGAGAAAAACAATATTTTAACTATAATATAAAACGGTAAAGTCTGTTTTTGAAAAAGTTGGTAGAGGAAGCAGATACAATGAAACTCTATTTGGTAGAAAGTTATGTCTTATTCTTGTAGAAAAGTTTTTTTTTAAATTGAAACTGATGACCTCTGAAGCGTTGATCTTGATTTATAGTAAACATTTCATCGAGATTTTCAAAATTAAATTTTAATATTTTAAATTAGTTACCTACTAGTAAATTCATCACCGCCCAGCAATTTTCGTCCACTTCTGGACATAGACCTTCCTCATTTTTCTCCATTATGCCCTATCTGAGCACTTTTCACCAATTTCTTGATATTTTCGTCCTCTTCGTCCACCTTTCATCACTGATTCGGGGGACGTGTCCGGCCCAATTCCATTTCAGTGTGACAATTCGGGAAATTACATCGGTAACTCTATTCCTCGTCTTAAGTCTTAATTTCTAACTCAGCCACGAAGCGATATACTCAGCATTAACCTTTCCACTTTACTCTGAGCTATTTGCAGCGTTTTAAGAACTTGTCAATGTCAAAGTTTCGGCACCATAGGTCATCACAGGCAACACACATTGGTCAAATGTTTTACATTTTAAAGAAATTTTTATATCGCTTTTAAAGATGTTTTTAAGTTTTCCATAGGCTGCTTATGCTAGGTTTATTTCTTCTTCGTAGTTCGCATGTTTGGTTGTCTCTTGTGATCTTTATTTCATGTCCAACATATATGTATTTTTCCACCAGCTCTACTTTGTTATCTCCAATATTGATATTTCCGCTAGGTACTAGGTTTGTTATGAATTTTGTTTTGGAGATGTTTATTTTACACACTGGCACACACTAACTGAAGTTACAACTGAAGAAACAAAATTCTAATTTTTGGTTTAGAAGAAAAACAATATTTTAACTATAATATAAAATGGTCAAGTCTGTTTTGGAACGAGTTGGTAGAGGGAGCAGAAACAGTGTTATCATTAAGGTTATTCCAGCACTCAAAAATTCTATTTGGTAGAAAGTTCTATCTTAATCTGTAGAAAAGTTTTCTTCTTTTAGTATAAACTGATAACCTCTGAGGCGTTTATCTTGATTTATAGTAAATATTTCATCGAAATTTCCAAAACTTAATTTTATTATTTTAAATGCTGTAATTAAGTTGTACACGTTGTCGGCGAAGTTCAAAAGAAGTTAGTGTAGCCATACTAAGTCTTTCTGCATAAATTGGTCTACTCAGTCCCAAAGAAATTCGAGAGATATTTCTTTGAACGTACTCCAACCAAAAGTGTAAAGTTGACAGAATTATGGCATTGAAACTCTCGAAAAATGCCTCCAAATAAGATACAGTCTGGACTTCGCACGTTTATAAACAGAGTTAACATGGTCGGATCAAGTTAGGTAGCTGTTTACGATAACACCAAGATTGTTAAACGAAAAACACAGAATCTAATGGCTGACCGTTAACAAAGTTCGGCAACAGTGGGTTTGTTTTTTACCAATTTAAAGCACTACAGATTTTCCCGCATTTAACGGTAGTAACCACTGGGAACTTCTTCTTCATTGACCATGTCCTTTCAGAACGTTGGTGACCATCATAGCTATCTTAATTTTATTCACTGCCAACCTAAATAGCATGCTTGTATCAACACCATACCAATCTCGTAAGTTCTTCAACCATGAGGTTCTTCTTCGTTCTGGACTGCGTTTGCCTGTTATTTTTCCTTGCATGATATTTTGTAGCAACCTATATTTGGGACCTCTCATTACATGACCGAAATATTCCAGCTTTCTCTGCTTAATATTTTTATGATCTCAGTAGTCTTGCTACTGGGAGCACCAAATTAAAATAGAGTCCAAGTCCATTTGGAGGGTTAACTGGTTTGTAATTAGATTGGCAGATAGTTTTGTGTCATCAGCGTAGAACAATATTTTACTTTGAAACATAATAAGGAACATCGATGGTATAAATCGTAAAAAGCAGAGGTATAAGGACAGAACCCTGAGGCACTATACTTTCCATTAACCTGTCCTGTGAGAAAGATTCGCCCACTCTAATATTGTAATGTCGATCTGTCAGGAAATCATCTATCCAACGAAGTAAAGTACCGCGAACTCCGAAATGTTATAGCTTATGTAGAAGTTTGCGCTGTGTATTCGGTCATGCGTACAATTTTCTTTGTAAATGGTTTATATGTGGCATTTTCGTCGCTTTAAATTTATGCTTACGCATAGATCATTAGTCTTTCATAATACTTTAACTTTTAGTAAAAAAACTAATTATCTACATCTGACACAAAGCTAAAAATGATTTCTCATCTATCTTACTGCTAATGACTTGTAAGTAGATGGTTAAAATATTTACAATGCTTTGAATTTCTTAGACAACAAGAACAAATACATCTATTCTTGCATAGATAGGCAATCCACAATTTCTCGCCAGTTCCATATGTCCAAAAATATTAACACTATTTGGACATATAACACATACCAATAATATAGAAATACTAGCAGTCCAAGGAAGTCCAGGCTGAAGAAGAGGTCAAGAGCGATCACTAGTTACAACTAGATTATAACAAATACAGTCCAGAAGGTATAACCAATAATGCCACTTCGCACCTGCCAAAACCCCTACATAGATGTACAGATAACATAAAATGAGCAATAGGATTCCTGAAAGAACCAAAATATGTACAGATTGGAATAAAGGAAATCAGCCTACTTGTAGTTACTAGTTACGTAATACTTCTGGTTGGATACGTGAATACCGCATTCTGTATTTACAAAAATATATTTTATATGGTGGAATAAAAGGTGACAAAATAACTGGATGTTTTTTCATTGAAGAAAATTTAAATGATCCGGTGTGTATTTAAATTTGTTAGAAACAATATTAAAGTATTATATCATAATATTATGAAAATGTCACACTTGCTTAAAATTTTAAATCATATATTTGTCAATATTTAGAATTATTTCAGAATCTTTTTTTTCTAGGTATTAAATATGTCAAGGCGTTTCCATGTAAAAAACCTAAGCAAACTTTACTGCTAGTATTTCTACTAATATTGTCCCTTACTACAATTTCTGCTATCCTTATATGGAGGAATCCTACCAGAATTATACAGATCGATCAAAATAAAGACAACGAGGAAGAAGATAAAAATGAGCCCATAGACTACACAGCCGGTAAGTTTAAATTAAAATATATCATGTTTAAGCATTTTTTGCGGCAAGTAAATGATTGTAAAAAGTGTTAAAGTATTAAACAAGACAAAAGGCTTAATATTAAAATAAAAGTCACGTCATCAATCATAATTGAATGTACGTTTAAAATATTACAACAAGCATGAATATAATCTCATTATTATTATCTTCTCACTACAGTCAAAATCTTTTTTCAAATTAGATTTTTTACTAAACGCTAAACGATTTTTTACTAAAATATTATTTTTATTTATTTACATAAAGTAGGACCCTAGAAAATGATGGCAATTTGTACGAAATACAAATACAATTACTAGGTGTACAATTACCAGGGCTGACGGTAAATGTAGAAAATATTCTTATACAGTATAGGTAAAAGTTTATGGTCGGTATGGACCTTACATGAGATGGAGTGAGAAACAACTGTTTAAAAAGAGAGAGATATATTAGGTGTCCGCCTTTTATATCACCGAACATAAATGAGTGGATATGGAGTGGATATAATAAAAAGGGGAAATTCAACGTTGCCAAACTTATTGGTTTTATTTGACCTGTTGTCTTTTTCGCATTTGAACAATGCTCCAAGATAATGAAATTTGGGCGAAATGGATTTAAATGGCAGCTTATTGTTTTTTATTGGGAATATGCCACAATTTTACTTTACAATAAGTGTAATATAACATTTTGATTTATACTTCGGAAATCGTTTTATATAAATAAAATTTATTAATGTTTGGTATTTTAAAAACGATTTCCGAATTAAAAATCTAAACATCAAAATAAGCTTATTTTAAAGTGACATTATGCCTTATTTCCAATAAAAATATTAAACTGCATATAAATAAAAAAGCTTCGTACAAAACTATTTGCCAACGTGGCGTGTCGCGTGGTCAAATCACCGAATCAAACCGTAAACAGGTATTTACGAATAGAGGTGGGTCATTGACGTCGCAAAACCGATTTTCGTAAACAAGTAACTATGATTTTTTAATAGTAGTTTCAAGTAAGAAACTACCTACATAAACAAACATAATGGCTATTATCGTTTATCTGTATATTTATTGAAGTGAAGGAAACTAATAAAAGATTTTATTATAACTTGAAAACTAAACTAAACAATACAAATAGTAAATCGTACCTACGTTTACATTACACGTTATTATTAAATCACGAATCGTCTAAATTGACATTTAAAAACATAAGTTTTTGTACTTTACTTCTTATTAATTGTGTTTTTCTTTTATTTAAAATTAAACCTGATTTTGAACATGTGTTCACATTTACAATACTTTATGAATATAGTGGTTAAGTTAGGAGATACATGGCGATGGTTTTTTCCACCATTGTAATGGACTCTCGCTACAGGTGTACGTTTAGATGAGTCATGTCCAATTAATTGATCAAAAATACACCATGGACTTAAGTCATCTTTATCGGTTTCTTTTTCTTATACTGGTTGATTTTCGATAGTACAATCTTCTTGTTCTTTAATTATAGAAGTAACCAGCTTCTTAACTCTTTCTTTTGTTTTTTTTAGCGTCATTTTTATCAGAAAATCCCTGCACTTTAAATCGTGAATCCATAAACGTACATAATGACAATATGCCACTGTATTCTATCCCTCTAAATCTTTTTGCTAAACCCGCGATTAGTAATTATCCCGTAATTAGTAATAAAAACCCGTACTACGTCGGATACTAACTATGGATGTAAGGTTACTGTTTGCTAAAATTTTATTGCAAGATTTTTGCAGGCAGCGTACCAGAACAATCACTGAACTATCATTCAAGTATTTTTGGCCACTCATTGTACTTGTTATTTCTTTAAAAGGCCGTAAAATTTAGGACAATTACGAAAAAAATAATCCAGTCTTCATTATTTAGATTTGGTCTAAGTCTAAGTCTGTATTAACTGATACCAATGTGGAACGGATTGCCTCTTCTAACTCCGTCATTCTTTCTAACATGTAATAGGTGAAGTTCTACCTAGTTTCCACGTCTTGGATTGGCCGTTTGGGATCTTTGTTATGTTGTAATTGATACTTTAAAAGCGTTTCTGAAGATAAAGGTACTTTTTTAAAATGTGTTTTTTTGCCGAATTGTCGAAAAAAAGACTTTTTATTTTATCTATTTGTACACGGACAGCATTTAAGTGCGTCCTCCATCAATAAATTTAACGTATGAGCAAAACAATTTAAAATGTTTTCATTCCAAAACATATTTAATAGCTATGACCATATTTGAGGCATTATCAGTTACTGCAAAATTTACTTTTTGTTTTAGACCCCCACTGAATAATAATTTCACTAATTTTAAAAAGCGATGTTTTCTGAATTATGGTTTCCAGAAAAATGGCAGCAGTCTAATTAAACCGTGTTAAACTCTAAATTTTCGGTTAAATTCGTTAAAATCAACTAGTTGATGGTTGAAGCTGGTTACTTCTATAAAAAAAGAAAAAGAAGATTATACTATTGAAAATTGACTAGTACAAGAAAAAGAAACTGATAAAGATGAATAGGTAAAGAAATAATAAATAAGACTTACTCACAATCAATTTAATTTAACTATCCGACGACCGGTTTCGCTTTCTACAATATGCAAAGCATCTTCAGGTCTCGGTACAAAGTTAAACAAATGCTGAAATGATAAAAACCCATATTAGGGTGTTGTCTAATAAAGATAAACAAATTAGATGTTATAAATTACAAATAATTATGCCAATAATTACCTGTCTGTGGTTTTATTTAAATGATTGAGGTTGAATAAAAAGCTATAAATATTTTTTTTTAAGTTAAAAGGACAAGGTAAGGCCCACAAATTGTCATAAAAATCTCTTCTATTGTAATAAATTAATGAATGAGCAAATAAATAAATGAAATAAAATAAAATTACTTACATGCCGGTACTCTATTAATAGATGGATGGTAGAACATGTTTGATAAAGATGACTTAAGTCCATGTTAAATGTAAGTACTAATTTGTATTGTTTAATTTATTTTTTCAAGTTATATATAAATATATTCTTCGTTAGTTTCTTTTACTTTAATACTTATAACACATAAACGATAATAGCCAATATGTTTGTGTACTCGCTAATTTGAAATACTGGTAAACAATCAACTAGTTACAGTTTACGAAAAACGGTTCCGATAAAAAATTTAAAAAACTAAAGGACCCACCTCTAGTTTCTTAGCTTTATGAGGATCGGAACCACAGAATATGTACAATATCTCTGATCGGAACTAATCGTCTCACTAACAGGCAAAATGGGCGTCAAGAAGATTTATGGAGGGGAGACCAAGGGGGAATATGATTGTTATCTTTGTCTATTCGCTGAGATATGATTTTATATCTGTGTTAGATATCCTGTTAAGTTTTACCATACCGACCATAAAATTTTACCTACACTGTATAACAAGCGAGTCTTCTACAGCTGGCGCCGCTTCTCGCATCCTAATTTCCAGCGTTTTCTGTCGAAGCAATCTTCAGTTGTTAGATCTCTGGCGGTCATTGCATCGTCGACATCGTCTCTCCAGGATCGTCTTGGTCTACCTCGTTTTCTTCTAGTTGGCGGATTACATTCTCCTATTTTTTTTGCCATCTATTTTCAGGAATTCTCTAAAGGTGTCCATACCAGTTAAATCTTTTGGCTTCGATAGTGTGTATTATGTCTAGATCGATTTCCATTTGTCTCCGAATATCTTCGTTTCTCACCCTATCAAGTCTAGTGAGCTGGCAACATCGTCTCCAGTAGTTCATTTCCATGGCCTTAATTTTTGATTTGTTTCTTTGGTTTAGTTCCCAGAGTTCAGCGCCGTACAGTCCAATACTTTCTATTATTGTTTTATAAATTCTTCTTTTATTTTCTGTTGGTTTTATAGTTCCCATTTCGATTTGTAGGCTTTCTGGTTTTTCTCCTAACACTAAGTACTCAGTTTTTGTGTATATTAATTGTAAGGCCCTATTTGGTGTACTCATCTTCCAGTTTTCTAAGCATGTAGCTTATATCCTTCTCGTCTTCAGCTAGAATGGCTTGGTCGTCAGCGAAGTGTATCGTGTACAATATATCATCTCCGATTGGGATGCCCATATTGCAGCACTTTCTTCTCCACAGTGAGAGTGCCTCATTTAGATATATTTTGAAAACTGTAGGTGCTACGCAGTAGCCTTGCTTTAAGTCCCTTACTAATAGGAATTTCTCTAGTTAATCTAGTTCCAGTTTTAATGTTTGCTGTCATATTTTTGTAGAGCTGTTGTACTGCTTGTATATTTTTTTTTGCTATTCCTTGTTTTTTCCATTGCTACCCAAAGCATTGAAAGTGGTACACTATCGTATGCCTTTGTCAGATCTATAAAGACTATATGAGTTGAAAGGTTGTGGGCTAATCTTTTCTCGATAACTTGCTTTAGAGAGAATATACTGTCCATGCAGGATCTGCCTGCACGAAAGCCATTCTGTTCTTCTACATCTGTCATCTCATTTTCAATTTTATTTTTTATTATTTTTCCATACAGTCTTGAGAGTGAATTTATGACACTTAGCCCCCTCTAGTTTAAACAATTCTTTCTATCTCTTTTTTTGTAGATGTTGTTAATATGTGCTTTTGTCCACTCCGGTGGTAAGTCGTGTCCATTATAGAATAAGGTGAAGACATACGCCAGTAATTCCCGTAATACTTGTGGGCTATGTGTTAGTAATTCATTTGGTATACCTTGTGGTCCGCATGACTTCCGATTTTTTAGAGTTCGTATTGTATTCTCGACTTCCTGTACTGTTATTTCATCGTCTTCACTGAATTCCAGTTTATATGTTGTTGTACTGATGTTCGTGAATTGAGGTCTTGTTTCAGTCAAAAGTTGTGAGTAGTGTTCGATCCAAGATTTTTCTTCTATTAAATATATTCTACTTGTTTCTTTTCTGTTTGTTCGCAGACTTTTTACCGTTTTCCATGCTTCTCTTGATCGTGTTGATCCTATATATTT